TTGACAAACACAACTGCAACACTACCTGCTCTGTGGTTCTCATGTGTTCAGTCACAATTTAGTATAGGGAAACCATGACTTTAAACCACACAATGACATTCTAGATGATTCTGAATGTTTTGGTGGCATTACTATGGATATGACCCTTTTCTCTTTCACGCTTCATATCAAAACAAATAATGGAGATCTTAACTGGTCTCAATGCCATGAAAACCCTGCTGCCACATAATGGAGTATGTATGTAAAGCAAGCGGCATGAAAAGCTTAATAAAATTTGGAATTAAGTACTTCAACTCATTCAACTTCTATCAAGCAATTGAAGAAAGAAGACCAACATTTGGGTAAGATTTCAGGAATAGATGGTACAGTTGTTTGTGTATTCATGGCTAGGTTATTCACGGTTCCATATATAGAAGCCATGAGTCTACAAACAGCCCTTTCATTACTGTGAGCTTTCTCTAGTCATTTCAGCAGACACAATCCAACAGTCTGGTTCCTGAGCAAGATATGCATGCATTGCATCTACAGAGACGTTTAACCACAAGTATATTTTATTTAACCAGCACCAAACCTTAAGCCTACCCTCCTTCTCAATGTAAAATGAATTAATGTACAGCCTAAAATATGCAAAAAGAGAAGAAATGTTACCTACACACTCTACATACAAACAACATTTTATCCACATTCAATGCAACAAAGAATACACAAAAATACTTCCTCTCTGTCTTAACCCTCTCACATACAAGCAGCAAATAGAAAGTGAAAGATATATAAACTGTTCCCCTAAAGGTTTGGCATTATGCAGAGATGAAGATATATTGTTTGTTTGTGGAGTTGCATCCTCTGCTCAGTGTGTGTTTACTTTTTTTTTGGCTCACAGGAGTCAAACACCAGCTCGGAGGGGAGATAACACAAGCTTTTAAGTCAGAATCAAGAGTAGACAATGGGGTCACGTACGGTGTAGAAACCTTTTGATTTTGGGTTTAGATTCCCCCTGAAGAATTCTGCTATCTTCTACTTTCAAGTTAAAGATCAAGAGCACATGAAATTAGTATTTTTGGATTTTATGAAGGTAATTTGATGGTAATTTGCATGGTGCGATTTGTAGGGGGGGATTTCCCCCCTCTGGTCTATGCATCCCTGCTTCAGCTCCCCCCGGGTGATGCTGCTAAATCAACAGGCCATATAAAACAGCAAAAATAAAAGTATTTTTAAAACATTGCCAAGTAAAACGCTGCAACGACAATGAAAACAACAAAATCAGAAATTGACTTTTGCTGTCAGCGCTCCTGCTTTGTGTAAAGGCACCTTTAATCCAAGAGGGCTTTTTACAATAACAGCAGCATGACGGTATGAGATTAATACTATGTTTCTCCTCAAAACTCTCTGTCTCTCTGTCAAAATCATCTGTCTACGAGTCATCAATCCCGTAAAAAGGCAAAGCAGACAGTGTTAGAACTTTTTTCTCATCAGATTGCACAATTAATGGAAATTAATAAAAATTATGTTTCTATCAAAATGACATAAATAAAACGTGTGAATAGCAATAAAGTCATTCAATAAAGGATGTTGAGTAGCGGAGCCCTTTGTTAAAAAATAAATGGGAGCAAACGTGACTGAATATGTACAGTTATATGTCTCGTTATTTTATTCAAAATATAAATAACTACCGATTGAGAATTAAGATATCTAATCTATTTATTCAAAGTTTCTCAAGATCAAATAATAATTCATAATTATTCTAGAATTCTGACTGTAACAGCTGGAGCGTATGTAAGGGTGGATGAGCCTTTGCGTTCCTCTGGCCACAGATTGGAAATTAATGGGGACTTGGGGCAAAAATGCTATCAAATTGGACAAAAATGCCCCTGCACAATTCAACTAAATCTATTACGGCTGTCGCGAATAAAGTGAAAATTAAATTAAAAGTATCGATTGCGGCATTAAATTTAGATCTGCATCGTGCATTTAGACATTGCATCACATTTCTTTGTGAGTGTTTTTACAGTGTTGCGCATTTTAACCAATCACACACGATTCCGTAGACTTTATGAATGCAATGACCAATCAGAAGCATTCAGATGAGTCATCGCTGAAACTTGCGTTTATTTCAGGGCGGCGTGCTCGCTGACTGACTGAATTCTGCACTTCATACCATGTTTTACACAAACTAATACAAACTCTCTATTAATAGGCACTTTCTATTGTTGATGTGATATATATCGTCACACTGCTCAGTCAGTTATAGCTAGCAACCTGAATAACAACAAATATGGTGTAAACGTACAGACATTTGAAGGTAACTATATCGCCCCCTATGGGACCACTGCATTTGTGGCTGTGTATACAGACTTCCATCCACAAATTAACACCTGTTCACACCAAGGACTAAGTCTAATACAATAGGGATGTCCACACCACAACTATAATAATAATGTCACAGTGTAACAATATCGGTTGATTCACTTACAGAATTTTTTTTTTCCAGTTGTTGAGCTATAAAAACATTTGACAGTCAATCAGAATCAATCCTATTTTAAGGAGCATTTAAAGCACCAGATGACATGACTGCAGTGCATGCTTATAATAAACAGAACGTTATCTTGTGTTGTTTTGGACACTAATATATAGTTATCCTTCTTAGTGGGCCTTTAGACTTGGAACACATTTTTGTACTGAATTTGATCAAACAAAACAATAAATCAAGAAATTTTAATTGCATGATTATGATATGTTCTATGAGTCACTGTTTTAAGGCCCAAAGAATTGGGCTATAAAGCTTTGGAAATCAGATCTAATCTAAGCTGCCTACATCAATGTTTCTTTGTGCCTGTGCCCTTCATGACTATGAATGAGGTGTATATGTGCTGATGAAGAGGGGGAAAAAGGAAAAGAGCAGGAGAAGAAAAACAGGAACTCCCTAAGGCCTTTCATAGGTTACACAAACAGAAGCAGTACCTGAGAGTCCCTTTTGAACCTGGCATCAAACAGACACATGTACATGGAAGCTCATGCCTCCAGATCTCAGACCATTGGCCATTAATGGCAGAGCTCATGTAGAGAGGAGGATCAGTGTTGAGCAGCATTTAGCCCTGTTTAGCACTCCATTTGGGCTCAAATAAATCAAGGCTGTTGGAGAGAGGCCTCCATTATGAGTGCAGGGGCCCTGCAGTGAGCTGTCATTCACTGGCCAGCCACCTTCACCTTTCAACTTCTAATTACAGGGAGCCACACAGCTCACAGTGAAACACACACGCATACAGAAGCCTTTTTAAAGCTCTCTTACGAAGAAAAATAGTTGTGGGAAACATAGACGTGCTCTCTAGACCTCAACACATCTCTCTTTTCCTCAAGAATTCTTGTTGATCCCGAATTTAGAAAGGGATTTATCCACACAAATAAATGATCAGAGGAATGAGACTGGGGTTAAGAAGGAATGAGCAACTGAAATCTTATCTGCCCACAAGCATCCAGAGCATCAAACACATGGTAGATAACAACCCAAAGACTGTTAATGTATAAGGATGGAGACGCATCTACGTTATGAGTGACATGAACATGATGTGTAACAAAAAACATGTAATTGGAAAAGCATGTCAACAACTCAACAGTGTATTCATCTCTGAATCCTGAAAGTTTTTAAAGCAACCGTGCAATGCTGATACACAAACGGAAAAGAGAATTTGGTAACAGACATTCAGTGCCTTGTTCTAATGCCAATCATAAACAAATCTAATTGCTAAGAATGTACACTATTGTTCAAAAGTTTGGGGTCAATACGATTTTGTATGTTTTTGATAGAAGTCGTATGCTCACCCAGGCTGCATTCTGATCAAAAATACAGTAAGAACGGTAATATCGAGAAATATTATAACTAGAGATGCACGATATTATCGGACCAATATCGGAATCGGCCGATAATGGCTTTAAATGTAAATATCGGCATCGGCCCGATATAAAAAAATTATGCCGATATGTCTTCCGATAAGAGGAATATATTAACTCACATGTGCTCAGGGTGTGCTAGCGATTAGATCACATCAACAATGCAATTTAGATCACGTCAGCATTGTGGCTCATTCTTGAAGCAAAGTTTTGACTGAATGGTGATTGGATTCACTGTTTTGATCGCGGCATTTAAACTGAGAATGCACGTATAGAATGTAATAGCACGTGCAGTGGCAGCAGCGTCAGCCTCCTCCGGGTCCTAATGCTCGCTCAGTAAGGAGTTTTAATTCCGTAGGGGGCGCTGTTGGCCTACTTCTAATAAAATAAAATGTTACGGTTACCACTGCATCTTTCTGAAAACAAAATGCAGTGATTAATATGTTTATTTATAGTTATTTTCAAATCTTCAATGCACTGCGATTATAAAATAACTTTATTATTGTTTATTTAATTCTAACAAATAAGTTCTTGTTAAAAACTAACCAAAATTAAAATCGCCATCGACCAAAATGAGTTGAAAATTATCGGCATATCGGATATCGGCAAAAATCCAATATCGTGCATCCCTAATTATAACAATTTAAAATAAGTGTTTTCTATTTGAATATATTTTAAAATTTAATTTATTTATGTGATGGTAAAGCTTAATTTTCAGCAGTCATCACTCCAGCCTTCAGTGTAAAATATTTTTGTGGTGCTTTCTGTACATCTCACCTACGACCTGCAGACAAATGGTCTGGTTGAGAGGTTCAAACACTAAAGTGAATGCTATGGTGGGTGGAGGCCAAGGACGGGCACAAGTGTAACCTCACGCTATATGCTACATGGCATCATGCAGGTGTCCAGCAGCACCCCACTCCCCATCATTCATTCGTCAAATATGTACAGTACGGGACATGAGAGAGAGCTTCAAATAGGTGATGTCACTGGCACAGAAACAACTGGCTGAGCTTCAGCAGCAAGTCAACCACCAGTTGGAAAAACAGCTAATTTAAATTTTTGGATGAACTATCCCTTTAATCTCTAGTGTGTCTTCATTTAATTGTGCTTACTTGGCGGTAGGTTCCCTCCATCAGTGTGTCCAGGTTTTGAAGTGGTCCTGGGGTTTTGTCTTTAAAGCGGGTCAGTAGACGGCGCTGGATGGCCCTGAACTGAACTGCTCTCTCCGACAGCAAATCCTGATACTTCTGCGCATTCACACGGAGCTATAAATATTCCCACAAAATGAGAAAACATTACTCAGAGGGTTATGTTTTAATGTCATACAGTATTTATTAGGGATGTCATTTTATGCTTCCATATGCACAGAGAGCCAAGAATCTGTTTTAAGAATGTGTGACCGTGTGAGAAGCTTCGCACCTCAAAGTGGTGGTCCACTGTCTCAAAGAACTCAGGCAGTGGAATTGGTCCAGTGAAGCTGTTCCGAAAGTCTTTGACTCCAAGGGAGGCAAAGTGCCGGTCGAAACGCTGCACCAGCTCCTTGGCTACCAGCCAAATATCCTCAAAGCTCTCGCTCTGGATCCTGTAACGCTCTGCAGAGAGTCAACACACACTCACATAAAGAGAGAGACAGAGCAGTGCTATCAGCCTTCCGTCTCCCACACCTGTAATTAGCTCATGACAACCTGAAACAGATCACAGGGCTTCCTCGCATGATGGATGCGAGCATTAGTGAAGCGTGCGTGTGTGTGTGTGGGGTGTGTGTGTGTGTGTGGGGGGG